AGAAGGGGGGCAAGAGGAGAAACGTGTATGATAGCAGCAGCAGCAGCAGCAGCAGCAGCAGCAGCAGCAGCAGCAGCAGCAGCAGCAGCAGCAGCAGCAGTTCGAGGAAGGGAGTCACCCGAGTCCTCGCCAGTCCGTCTTATGTCGCTCAGATGCGTCCCATCTCCATCTCGTGAGTCTGCCGTTCAGCTTAGCTCCTGCTCCTCCATCTCTCCTCCCTCCTCCTCCCCTTCCTCCCCTTCCTCCCTGCCTCCTCTCCCTCCCTGCCTCCCTGCCTCCCTCCCTGCTCTTCTTCATTCTCACACTCTCCTGCTTCGCTCTATTTCTCCTTGAATTCCCCACCCCTCCTCTTCCCCTCTTCCTCTTCCCACCTTCCCTGCGTCCTGCACGACTGGATGGTTGATTGGTACTTGGTTGATTACTTGGAAATGGTAGATCAACAGAAGAAACCGATCCCCATTTGAAAGTTCGGTATCGAAGGAAGGGTCAGCCAGGAACAGGGAAGAAAAACAAGATTATCAACTCCAGAACGGCCATGATCAAGTCATATTTCAACGGAGCATCTGTGATCGATGTGCACAATCACCTTAGACAGAGTGGACTGGGACTAGAAGAAAAAGTTCCAACTCATGACTGGAGATTCAGAATGCTCTGTACGATACTTGGGTTCATTGAAGTGGATGCAGACAAGATTTTCCGTGTTGGAATGCTACCGAAAGAAGTCCCCAGTCATCTGGTGTTCATGAGAAATTCGTACCAAGGTTGTCCAGATTCATCGATCCCAAGAAGAGGAGGACAGGATAGCACAGATACCAGCGTGGATGATGACAGTCATGAAGCAGAAGCGCCGTTGGATCATGCTTGTTGACGACCACGCTCGATTTTTCATCCAACAAAGTACACAAGGGGTGAATGCACAGCGGTCGAAAAGAGTGAGATGCAGGATCTGTAGAAGTGGCAATGGAAAGGGTTTGTACACTACCTTCTGTTGTTCACTTTGTAGCAAGAATGATCCTCTTAAGAGACCATTTGGTATCTGCGGAACAGCGTCTCGAAGAAATTGCTTACAGGAGCACTAAGATCATCATGGGTGAAATCGTATAAGATGATGTTGCTAATAAATAAATCCTTTTCAGGTACATTTGTACAAGATCAACATTGCTTCAGAAGTGAGTCAGCACACCAAAATCATCCGGCATGGTACTTCCAAATGCAAATCTGCAGCAGTTGGCGTCTCAAAAAATGGTGAGAACAGAATGTTGTACCACACACAATCAAGATATCATTCACTTAAGATTAGAATATCAAATTTAGTTCTGAGTACGTCAACATATTCTGCAGGCTCACAACGTGCTGCTACTGTGAAATTGGATGCTCTCCTCCCCACCATGTACGCGCCACCATTGCGATCGTTGCAAACCCCCACCTACTCCGAAATGACCCCCACCCATCATATATCCGGATTAGACTAGTCCATTAACCCCGTACTATGTGTGAATCGATTACCCCCACCCGGCAGTCATGGAGCACTTGCCGCTCTGATACTGTCTACGATTGGAATCAGGAGAACATTTCATCTCTCAGTTTCAAATCTGCCCCTACAATATGAACCCCTCCCTGACGATTCTGAGGAGCTCTTTCGGAATTTCGCTAGCACAGCGCCGCTATGACCAAACGCCGACATAGCAGCGACAAGGAGGAGTCCACAGTTGGGAGCAAGAGGTTGCAGCAGGCCAAGGGACTGCGCTCAGACAACAAGGAGGAGAAGCTTCAAGAGCAGATCAAGGAGGAGAAGGAGAAGCTCAGAATCAAGGAGGAGAACCTTCAAAAGAAGATCAAGGAGGAGAAGCAGGAGCTCAGAATCAAGGAGGAGAACCTTCAAAAGAAGATCGAGGAGGAGAAGCAGGAGCTCAAAATCAAGCAGCACCATATCCAACTGAAGGAGCAGAATCTTCAAAAGCAGATCGAGGA